TGAGCTTGTATCATTTCTCTAAGCTCGGTTTAAAGTTCTGGGATGCAGTGTTCTAGTTTTACTAGAGTGTATTTTTTCCCTTCTTTACTAGCCGTACAGCGAGGGTCACATCAGTGCCACCAACAAGTACTATCTCTTGGGTCAAGGTCAAAGTACCACTGTGAGCATAGTTTTTTCATCATTAATGTTTCAGTTTTGAAAAACTCATGTGTCTTGATAGTATATGTGTAAGAACAAGAACAAGGAAAATAAGTTCGAGTATGTTTTTAATTGAGATTGATATCAAAGACATGTCAATGAGAGTTTTTAAATTATCCGATTAAAAAATACATCATACATATATGTATAGTGCGTTTGGTCACAATCTGTGTATTGTCTTTAAGAACTGTGGCTATGAAATGCAATTTAGTGACAAATTCTGTGAAATAAAGGAATTCAATATGCAAGGTACTTTCGCGAACAATGAGCTCCTTCTGATGAAAGTATTTCAATAGTTCCGAAAGAGTTTTATTGAAAGCAACTGCTTCGCATTCCACGATCCGTTTTCGTACGTTACCTTGACCCTTAAATTGATGCTTGATTACTTCAATGAAGCATGAGACGTAATTCCTCTCTTGAGGTGATTGTTCCAAAAGTCACCCGCAACACCATTATCCTACATTCTTTATAAGATCGATTTGATTTGCGTGGGTAACCGTTTGCTCGTGGAACTTACCAGGAACCTCTTCATAGCTAGGAGGATGTCGGTTTGCCGCAATACTAATTTGGCGGCCACAAATTTGCGTAGGAAACATACCGGCAGGTTTTGGTTTGAATATAGGCTTTATTTTGATTTGTGCACGTTTTTCCTAATTCTTCGTAGTTTCTGTGAAAATTGAGGCAGCTCAATCATTATGGAGAGAAATTGAAATGTTATCTTGGGAAATTTCTTAAGTAAGGTTCACAACTTTTGATATGAAAGGAAGTAAGAATAAGAAAAATGTTTGAAATTTCTTATTAAGGCAATATCATGATACACAAATGGTGTGCTATTGACTGAACTTAACTCAACCCACCATGTACCTAATATATGTTTCTGCCAGAGACTCAAAAGGGTCCCTGTGGCCATTTTACAGCTAACGGTTGATTCCTTTTCATTACGCTCAACAGAAAAGTTAACAATTTTCGTTTTAAATTGATAATTTCTTTCTTTTATAGCTAACAGAAATGTTATAAACTGATTTCAATCCTTAAGATTAATTAGATCTCCTCAGTTATCTTGCTTTCCTGAAAGGCAAGTAAGAGAACAGCCACGAACTACCCGGTGAAATGATTCATTCCTTTTCGTTTCCTTGAATTGATAGCAGCCTTTAAAAATTACGTCTTTTTTGTGCATCGCAAGCGCAAAATGTCAAGACGGATAATGGGGAGTTGTGGGAAGGAGATGTTTTATTAACCAAAATGGATTCGTTGTTTTAATACATACGAGAACCTTAAACTATTGCTGATCTTAGATTAGGAAACATACTTTTTTTGTTAGGATCCCTCCCTACTTTGATCAGCACAGAAGATTCATGTTGCTTCTTCAGTTCTAAACTCGTTGTTGCTTTTAGTCAAGAGCCGCAAAACTCGCAAGATTCCTTTTCCTTTCTTCTTCATAAATTTCATATTCAAACGTATGTCGTCAACCCGTATACATTCAGTTGTACATATAGAACAACTTTACGTAACATACAACACACGCTCTATTTCAAGAAAAACCCTCGCATTTTTGCTTGAAGAGATCAACTCATGATGAAAGAAAAGATTCCGTATGGGAGGATTCGGGGGGGGGGGGGGGGGGGGAAAGTAGATTTCCGGCAAAGCCATTTACCGGAGGTCAGGCGCAAAACTTTATAATAAATTGTGGTACTTAACAGGCTTTGAAATTCGGCCTATCAATACTCAAAACTGTATTAGTCGAATAAAAGTCGGACGGATCAGCGTTGTAATACAACTTGCCAACAATACAATACAAATTTCGACCGAACAGCATAAATGCAAATAAATTAATTCTTCACAACCTATTGCAACTATTCCAGAATTAACTTGGTTAACTTATGTGTATTAGTTTGCAGAGATCAGTGAATGATAAGAGCCAGCGTTGTTTACCAACCTGCATAACAAACACCGCTTTATTCAGCTGAATGTTTTTACACTATGGACCTCACTGGCAATTTAATATCATGTGAAGAAAAAAAAAATACATTCGGCAGACTTAGGTGGGGTAGCGATAGAAAAGGATTCCGCCAAACGAATTTACGGGGCATTTAGGTTTTATTAGGTAAACGATGATAATACAAGCGTAAATGATGAAAGCAATTATCCAGAAGAGTGAATATTTTTTATTTGTGGTGCTTTTGCGTTTCCAGTCATCAGGTCATTAATTTTGTTCAAGGGCTCATGTCGAGGACTCTGTAATCTTTCTAAAAATTAATAAAGGAAAAAAAACGACGCCTCTTAAAGACCAAGTGGAATCCTGCTTATTGCTGATGCACTTGATCGACTAGTTTAATCGATTATTGATAAAAAACCTTGAGCCTCTTACTCTACAGCGAGTCCATGCAGCACTATTATTCAAAATGATTTGCACGGAATCTACAATGGTATAAATGCACCAAGAGATAACATGATCTCACCCATTTACAGGTCATATCTGTCTTTATCTTATAATTAAAAAATTGTTTGTTAAAAAGATTACTTGCTTTTAAGTAATTTTTAACAAGACGCGGTAAAACGAATCAAGGAACGTCTTCCGTTTGGAGTGTACGGACTTGGAAATTCAAGAGGATGGCAAAATTTTCTTTCATAAGTTAATCGAGCTCAAACTAGGTGTTACGTGTGTCTATTAATTACATACCATATTGATTAATCGCTCACGACTCATAATTAGCCCCAATAATGTCTGTGCGAGCAATTAACTATCTGGTCAGTTCTCAGTCCCCTATATCTAAGAGGCACTTCAAAGGTTTCTCAACTTGTATTTTTATCTGAGGAAGTTTTCCAATTTGAATTTCCAAGTTCTAGAGTTCACGAAAGTTCGGAGAACAAAAATCGCGTCAGCAACGATTGCAAAACAACAACAAAAAAAAACAAAAGCAACAGCAACAAGAAAAGCAACCAATTGATTACAATATAAGCTGTAAAACGAAAGCCGTTTTTTCTTTCGAATCCAAACTTTAATGGTATCAGAACGACTGGGATACAGGCTAATAAGAAAATTTACTCCATTGTCAAAAATGAAAAAATCTGAAGTTTCAGTTATGACAAAGGATTGTTATGCAAGAGTTTTAAGGAGTTCGTCAGCCATGAAGAAAGCACTGTTCCTATTTATTGACTTAAAACTTCACTTCTTTATATCGCGTTACCTATAGTGGTGATCCGACAAATTATTTTGGGTCCAGTTCCGCAGTTTTGCTAAACTATAAGGATTAAATTAATATAGGCAGCTTTTTGTGGTTGTTTAAGAAATATAATATCGTTTCAGCGGATGCAAATTAAAGTTGTCAGATATTCCAAATGGGGAAAAAATTAATAATATCAAATCACTCTCAATTGTAAAATCATCCTTACTTTGTTTGTCTTTATTGGAAGGACTCACAATACCTAACCATTTCAGAGCACTAACCGGCGACCTATTCTCAGAAAAAAGAGTACTAATATAGAAAACAACGGCTACGATCATTTTTTCCTTTAGAAAAAAAAATATATATATATTTATTAGAAAAAAAAACAAAAACAAGGCAAGCCGCTTCCTTTCTCGAAGGCAACATCGATGCATGGTATCTGATTGCGTCCCATTGGCGCCTTTGGCCCGTCTAAGATTGTCCACACACTGATAAGATTCCAGAATTTTGGAAAGAAAGAAATGATATTCATTTATTATATGGTTTTGAAGTTTAAAGTAAAAAAGGCTGTAAGATTATAATGAACTTTTCTTTCGAACTGATAATTTCCTTCAGCTATAGATAATGTAAAGTTCACACGCCTACAGTTCCTTTCAGAGGAATCTGGCTTTAAGTTTATGATATACAACAACAAGCTGAAAATAAGTAAGGATTAATAACAAAGGTTACAATGGGCAGCCTTTATTTTTGTAGCATTTCCGAATAAACGCAAAGCAAGTGTGGGCGAGGTCTCTAAAGGCTCGCTCGTTACGTTATGCAGCCTAGAAAGAACGACAGACAGAACGATCAATGGTAATCTCGCTGATAGGCATTGTTGAACGCAGGAAGTCCACAAGCTAGTTTGCGTCGTCTTGTGCGGTCAAAAGATTAACATGAAAATGAAATATCGACGAGTTTCGTTCTCTATATGTTTGGTCTAATGTTACCCGGTGCGTTAAATCAACTACAAAGTTAATCATCTTCTGAAACCATTGATACTGAAAATTGCCTACTCTGAAGTGCAGTGTTCCTCTAGAAACAAAGCATGCTTGCTCATTAACTATATTCTCTACCCTTGGAACATCCGCCTATAAAGGTTCTGTGTCAGCAAGTCATTTCTTTGTTCAGTCATATCACGTACCTTGGTTTGTACAAAAACCTTCAAACCCAAAAAAATTTAATTCAAAAGCGAAATCCATCAGGGATTCTACAATTAATTCAACTTTAATGTAAAATAATCGACTTTCTTTTGGAAACTAATCATTAATCGTGGCAAAGCGAAAAAGGAAATTTGATATCTCATTAGCAAAGATCACATCTTGAAATAAACCAATACAGATGGGAAATTACTTTCGGCCCGAGAAAAGAAAAGTACAAATTGATGATTTTAACTTAAACACAGTCAAATAAAACATGTTTAATTTTATCCCATTGGAATTCATAACACTTATTTTTGTTGTTTATTTAGGAAAAAGAGAATTCGAGTAATTCTAATTTCAGAGTCCGAATATTGAAGTAGTAGTAGCAATACTGACATCTACACGTGGGACTATAAATATATAAATGTACTCTAAAGAAAAAAGCGCCAGTGTCAGCGAAGGTTATACAGAAGCAGGATCTACCCGACGAAGATGAAAATGACATCTAAAGTATTATTTCTTCTCTTTTTCTTGACTTTCCTCCAGTCGCATCGTTGCCATCCGTTACCAGCTCCAGAAGGTGAGGTTTTCAATTATAGTTTTGGTTAATACAATTTCCTAGCTCGCTTTAATAATTGTTTTCCAAATGATTCAAGAAGAGGACGGCTTGTTAGGAGTCCATATGCTTATATTATGATCATCAACATTTTTTTTCCTTAAACCCCATCAAACTGTCAACTAACAGTATGTGTTTTAGTGGTGACAATAGTAATTTGCAAAAAGTGTAGCATTAGCAAACTGTTTACTCAGTCAACTTTGAATTAAGCACAGACTATTACTTTAATTGCTTTCTCCTCCTTTGACCAACAATTTATACGTTCTTGATATTGCTTTCTCAAAAAAGATGCATTTGGTGCAAATTTGTCTCTTTCGATTTTAGCCCAGTAGTGTTAAAGTGCAAAAATAATCTTCTTATGACTTAAACAAAGTGTTTTTCAATTTAAACAACTGAATTGAACAAGAGTTCACCATCTGCGAAGAAAATCTGAAATAAGGTTTACTTCACGAGAGGTCCATAAGGATCGTGTAAGAACACCATTTATGGCCAAAGTTTAACTAAACCAGCATATATCATGAAAAATTTTTCTCTATTTTTTTCCAGATGGTATAGAGAATGAACACGGTTTTGACGTTGTGGAGGTGCAGACGGTAGAACTCGCGATTAATGCACTCAACGAGGAGTTAAATAGAGCCCCCTCTGACGGTATCGATGAAGAAGGTAAAAATCCCTTTGTTTCTGCTAATTTGTTTTCTGTCACGAAATCATGTTTATCCCGGAGTCTTGTAGAGAGTTGCGAAGGTGCTTCTTAGAAAGAAAACAAATATGCAACGAAATTCATGTTTCGTGAATAACGTCTATTTGAGATTGTTTTCGTGACTGAAATAGAGCGAATTTATTCGTATGACTAATATTAGTCTCAGAGATGACTTTGATTTTATTTCGCGAACTTGATTATTTCTTATGGCCGTCAATATCGATCACGTTACTTCTTTAGAGATTGAAAAAGCCTGAAGTTCCCGTCATAAATATTTCATCATTTTCATCTCATCAAAACAATTGCTTTGACTCATTTCCACGGGAGCTTAAATGAAAAGGAAAGCTTGAAATAATATAGGAATCCTTTACCGCAGTACTGCTAAGGTGGTGTGAATGATAATATTTAATCAGATAACTTTCTAATCCCAGGTGTACCATATCCCGTACTAGCGGCTTGTTAGTTGAACTCTGGACGGTAGCACATAAACACTTAACAAGAATGCATCCAATATCCTCAGCCTGAGCACGGGTTTTAGACGTTAAATCTAGGCGCAATTATTATGACGTTGGGCATTATATGGCTTAAGCATTTGGCAAATGACAGTTATTCGTTTACCCAAACATATATCGTGGAGGAAACATTTTGAAATTCTACATATGTCTGTTTTGAATTTTTTCTTTCAAGAAACAAAACAAAAAAAAAATTATGATCGATTACAGCTAATTTGTAAGTGTCTGTTAGGGTTCTATGCTCTCCGACAAAGGTGTGCCACCCCTTTAATTCTCATACTTCTACAAAAAAGTATTCACCTTATTATTCTACTTTCCAATATTTAAAAATTAAAGAGTACAACATGGATTATTTTCTTTCTCTTATAGTGAAAGTGAAACTCGAAGCGCACGCAACGTAACACCACATCTTAACGAATTTGATAACCCATCAAGCTGATTAATTTTTTTAATATGCCACGTATCTACATATATATGCAAGCCGAAAAAACGAAGTATCGCAATCTCTACGTTCCTTTTACTGTTGAAACCTTTGAGTCGTTTGAAAAATGCTGTTTTAAAATGAAGCTTTTCTAACACTTTCCTGAAGTTCTATTCTTTTTTAAGACTTCGTTGTGATCTTGATTCTTAAATTCTGTATTCAACACTGTCTTTTAACATCTTTCATTATCAGATTTGCTAAAGACGCAAAAAACTTCTAATTTCATAAAAGATCACTGCGAATTCCTGATGATATTAAGAATGATACGTCGGCCTTAGAGATTTTTAGAAAAAATTGTCCAAAAATACTCAGTTACCCAATCAAATTATCTTTTCCTAGAGCCTGGTAGTGAAGATACAGGGGAAGAAAGTGAAGAAGAAAATGAAGTGGATAGTGAGGACAGCAACAAGGAAGAGACCGTCGACGACGATGGAGTGGACAGTGAAAATGGAACTGAGGACGGTGGCATTGAAAGTAACGATGAAGATGGCGAGGAAGGTGGAGATGACAATGTGAAAGACGAAGGTGGTGATGACGGTGGTGAGGAAAGTGAAGATGATGATGGAGATAGTGCAGCAGATGATGATGAAGACAGCGTGAAAGATGAAGATGAAGACAGCGAAGATGACGATGGTAAGGACAGTGAAGATGAAAGTGGTGATGAAAGCGCAGATGATGACGCTGACGGAAGTGAGGAGGGCGAAGAAGACAGTGGAGATGACGATGGTGAGGAAAATGAAGATGACGAAGAAGACAATGGAGATAGTGGAGGTGAAGAAAGTGCAGATGATGACGGAGGGGACAGTGCAGATGACGAAGAAGGAGAGAGTGGAGATGAAGAAAGTGCAGATGATGACGGAGGGGACAGTGCAGATGACGAAGAAGGAGAGAGTGGAGATGATGAAGATGAAAGTAGCGGTGACAGCGATGACGGCGGTGAGGACAGCAGTGACGACGAAGAAGAAGAAAGTGGTGATGAAGATGGTGAATACAGTGGTGATGACGAAGAAGAGGAGAGTGGTGATGACAATGGTTTGGACAGTGGTGACGACAGTGATGAAGACAGTGGAGATGACGATGGAGGAGAAAGCGGAGACGATGATGATGATGAAGACAGCGGAGATGAGGATGGCGAAGACAGTGGAGATGAGGATGGCGAAGACAGTGGAGATGAGAGTAGTGATGACGATGGTGAGGATAATGGAGATGACGACGCTGAGGAAAGTGGTGATGATGATGGAGAAGATAGTGGAGATGACGATGGTGAAGAAAGTGGAGATGACGATGACGAAGACGGTGAAGATGACAGTGGTGAGGACAGTGGAGATGACGACTCTGAGGGCAGTGAAGATGATGGCGATGAGGAGAGTGGTGATGACAATGGTGAGGACAGTGCTGATGACGACGGAGAAGAAAGTGGAGATGACAATGGTGAAGACGGTGAAGATGACGGTGGTGAGGACAGTGGAGATGACGACTCTGAGGGCAGTGAAGATGATGGCGATGAGGAGAGTGGTGATGACAATGGTGAGGACAGTGCTGATGACGACGGAGAAGAAAGTGGAGATGACAATGGTGAAGACGGTGAAGATGACGGTGGTGAGGACAGTGGAGATGACGACTCTGAGGGCAGTGAAGATGATGGCGATGAGGAGAGTGGTGATGACAATGGTGAGGACAGTGCTGATGACGACGGAGAAGAAAGTGGAGATGACAATGGTGAAGAAAGTGGAGATGACGACGTTGAGGAAAGTGGAGATGATGTTGGAGAAGGCAGTGGCGATGATAATGGAAAAGAAAGCGGAGATGACTACGTGGAAGACAGCGAAGATGACGAGGGAGAGGACAGTGGAGATGACGACGCTGAAGAAAGTGGTGATGACGATTTTAAAGACAGTGGAGATGACAGTGGCGAAGAGAGTGGAGATGACGATTTTGAAGATAGCGGAGAAGATGATGTTGAAGATAGTGGAGATGATGCCGGAGAAAGTGGAGTGGATGATGGCGAGGACAGTGGAGCAGAGGATGGTGATGACAGTGGTGATGGGGTTGACAACGAAGAAGTCAATGTAAGCAAGACTGGAGAAGGCAATGTCGTCCAAAGAAAGGGAGGCGCGAATGTTGTGGATTTCAGAAATTATGGTAATGGTATCATTTACCGAGCCAAAAATGTCAAAAGTATCAAAGAACTCATCAAAAACATCTTGAGAAACAATAGTGACGTTCATATCAATGACACTAATACGATCTTTAAGTTGTTAAACGTAACCGAATTAGAAGGGTCCAGATCTTCCGGCGTTTCTTGGTATAGTGGATTATTTGTCTATAAAGCCCTAGTTTTAGTAGCATCCTTTGTAGTTTTATTATGAAAGTGACTGAAATTGCACGATATTTATCTTGTGTCCAAGAGCAATGCAAGGAGAAGTTTGCGATTTGCTTGTAGCTAAGACAGAAATTCTTGCGCTAGAATTCGCCGAAGGTGTACCGAAACCTGTACAAGAAAACTGTTTATAACTTTGTGCGACTTGTATGCGAATAAAATCTTATGGACAAAATTTTGCTAAGCGACAAAAATCACCTAGGAGGTTTGCTTTTTTTGTATAGAGATTTAAATATAATTATTATTAAAGTTGTTATGAAAAGTTTTCAGCGACTTAACGACGTCTTTTTTAGACCTTAGTCCCATTCCTTTTTTTTGGTGGTAATATCTGTTAGTCACGCAACTTAGCAGCCAGTCAAGCTGGTCTTTGATCGTTAGGGTAAAGGGTATTTTTGTTCAGGTTCAATGGTAACATGAAATTTCGTGATACAAAGGCCTACAGAAAAATTTCGGCACTGATGTATAGAATTATCGGACATTCTCCTCAATAAGTCCTGTAACTAACGCTCACTCGTCACAAGATCTGATTAGTGTTTGCATATTTGAAGATGTCTTTCATTCGCAAGATTGATAGTTCTAGAAAATTCGATAATCATGTCCGAAGCACTACTTTGACCTGTTCCTTCTTATGAATGAGCTTTACAATTTCCCCAAGACTCCGAAAAAAAGTGCAACGATTTACTCCCACCGAATGACGATAAATAAATCTAGATTTGTCCAGTTTGCAAGGGGTGCTTTAAACATTTCCCTCCTCATAAATGACAATAGCAATAATTTTACTAAGCCTCACTTTTAAATATACTGCAATAGCCATAGAAAAGCCAGAACATTTTTTATTTCATAAGAAAACTCTACGCGGGGCAGGAAAAGAATTCACCCGAAATTGCCATTTAAGCTTAGAGACAGTAAACTTCCGTTCACACCACAGTTTTTTTAAAGCAGGATTTAAAACATCTGCAATATCCTTAGCACTCACTAAAGATTTCAATTTTCATTAAAAGAAATCGTTTGTAATTTTAGAAAAGCTACTTAGTAGAAGGCCCTACACCTCTGGGACTCCTTAGGAAAATGATGCCTCAATCAATTCGAAGTTTTAACATCCCTACCGGCATTTGAGCGTTCGAATATTGTCTTGGTCAAATTCTCCCCCCCTTCCAGGCAAAAATTCTGTTCAACCCAATTTTTATGTTAACGGCAGAATCAGCAACCTGGAATTTCTACTCCTTGAACAAGCTATGAAACCTAGCAGGTAATTTAGTGTTAACAACTGGGTTGAAAACGTAAATTAGCCACCGTAAAGAGTAAAAAAGCTGACGTTTCGAGCGTTAGCCCTTCGTCAGAGCGATTAGAGGAATTGTGGGTTGTGTATGGATTTATATGTAGAAAGTGGAGCTACGCCATTGGTGGGAATATGGTGACGAAAAAACAGGAATAAATTAGTTGAATGAAAAGCGCTCGTTGATTCCGTGGGGATTAAGGGTGCCGATTTGAAATATAAATTTTTGTTCTAGTGTTTTACGGCTTTCCGAACTGCCTAGATGTAAGGAAAGGCCGCAAACTGCCATATGCTGTTTAGAATGATAAGGAAGATTGAAGTGTCTAGCGACTGGCTTGGATGCGTCCTTGTCATTTATTTCCACATCGCGAAGGTGTTCACGGAATCGGTCACCCAGTCGTCTTCCTGTCTCGCCGATGTATAACTTATTGCAATAAGTGCAAGTTATGCAGTAAATAACATTGGCGGAGGTACACGTAAAGTGATCAATGATCTTAATGGATCTTTTGGGTCCCGATATTTTCTGTACGTTGTGAATGAAAGGACAAGTTTTGCATCGTGAGCGAGCGCATTTAAAAGTTCCAGATTGGTCATTGGTTTGAAATGAACTCCTGACTAAAAAGTTGCCTATGTTTTTGTCACGTTTGAATGAAATAAGTGGGGGTTGCGAAAAGATAGTGCCAGTCTCTGAATCGTTTTGGAGTAATTTAAAATTTTTAAGAATGATAGATTTAACTGCGTGGTTGTGAGGGTGAAATGTAAGAGTAAATGGAATGCGATCCGTGTTCTCCTTCTCGGCCGTTTGTAGTGCTGCCTGTCGATCGATTTGTTGGGCACGGTGGTAGCCCGCTTGAACGACAGAAACAGGATAGCCGCGTTTATCGAAAAACTGGCACATTGCCTCTGATTTTTCGGAAAAATCAGAGTCGTCACTACATAAACGACGAAGTCTGAGAAACTGTGAAAAAGGTATGGAGTTCTTGACGTGTGATGGATGTGAGGATGAATACAACAAGTAACTATGTGAATCTGTAGGTTTGTAGTAAACACTAGTACATAAACCGTTGCCTTCAATTGAAATTTTGATGTCTAGAAAAGCCAAAGAATTGTCGGAAATTTCCCAGGTATATTTAAGAGCCGGATGAAAGGAATTGACGGCGGTTATAAATTGAGTGAGCTCCTCTTTGGTAGAGGAGGTAGCGCCTCCTGAAACCTAGACCTTGCAGACGTATTCTTTTGAGCCATTTGCTCGCGAAAGCGAACTATTTGCCTAAAAACACCTCCATATTTAATGTAACAGTACTATTCCGCTGGAGAGACTTGACACTTCCGGTTCAAACTCCCCACCCGAGCCAGGCAAGGTTCAAATTTTCCACCCTGCGGGCACCAAAGAAGATCATACGCTCATTGGTTGTGTTGGAAGAGAGGGGATGGGGGAGAGGTTCAGGTTGATCTTCGTATTATACTACATATTTTCAGATCAAAAGTGTATTTAGCAATCGTTTAAGTTACGTGTTTTAACGCAACTCTAGTTTGAAATTTAAAAAGAAAAACTTCCAAACGCTGTATTACACCCTCGCTCTCGGTGAAAAGGTATTTTTATGACTTCATGGTCAAAAGTACATCAGATTTCAGGAACTAATCATTAAACTTGTGCTCTTATTTTGTACTTGTCTTTTTTCTTCAATTCTCTTCATCTACCTTGATCGAGCGAAGCCTCATCTGAGTTACTCTCAGTTATTCAACTTGTTCTAAATTGAATGTGACTTGACCTTTTTATGCATTTTCGTCCCTAACAGTCGCCAACAATTGTTTTGCCATACCTTAAAAGTCATAAAGCACTTTTCCCAGGATTTATAGCGTGATAAATCCACTTGAAATGTACGTAGTGTAGGTGTAAATCAAGTACCCTTTGGTGAATAAACCGCACGCTTGTGTCTTAAAAATGAAAAAATGTGATCTACAACTTGCATCAATTATACTGCATTTAGCAAAGTTTCATTACTTACTGGTCTATTTTCTTGGAATATAGCATCATATTTATACAAAGTAAAAGGATTAGTTTTTAAATTATCACCCACTTTCATTAGTTGATGATTCTTCTGTTGAGAAAGTGTTGGTAGATAATGCTTTATGACGTTCCATCCATTTTTTCGCAATATTTGTTATTCTGGCCCCTTATTTTACCACCAACAATTTCCTTAACGCAACTTTTACTGTCATTTGTCGCAAGAAATGAGAAGAGCCACACTTCACGAATGACTCCACTAATTGCCCAGCTGTCGATTGTCAAGGCACGTGCTTGAGCACGTGAACAAGTGTTTAAAGTGAGTATTGTTGGTATGGATAGATTAGAGAGAGCGATCCTGAAACAGACAAAGGGAATCAATGGTGTTGACACTTACCTCTTAGTAATTTAGCTCCTAAAATAGATAGTGGACATTGCATTTTTTGCCACAGTTTTTCCTCAAGTTCTTAAAGACGGCTTCGACAGGAAAGTCCTCCACAGGGATGGATATACGTCAATGTTAACCAGGGAAAGTCAAGGTGTTTTTTCCTTTTCATAGCGTGAAAAGTAAAAGAAAATATTTCCAAAAATGGAGTGGGGCCAACTTAAATTTCGTATGGTTGCCACAGTTAATTTCAAAATTACAGAAGAATTGTTAGCTTCTCCCGGGATAACTGTGTAATATTAGCATCAAGTTCTTTTTATTTTAATATTGATTGATTCATCACATGAGCAGCTGAGAAAATTACAAAGATCTTAAATATCAATAAAATTGAAATACATGATAGAAGTCAATTTTGAACATATAGCACTTTATGTCAGTCGTGCCAAATTATTTTAATTTGGTTTTTTGTTATTGGAAAAGAACCCAAAATTTGCTCTTTTGTTCTTTTAAGATAAGGCAAAAAAAAAAATGAACTTAGTTCTTCTGTTTGATATTGTTTATTTTTCTAGACCCCAACAGCTAATATCTTGATTGTTGCTAATATTCAACAATCTCTGAGAGAGTGCTTACATCAGTCAAGTCCAAGATTCCGATGCATTTCTTACTTTACCAATAAACAGATATCGAAAGCCACAAAAATCTCAAACGGTGCTTTAATCAGTCATTGCTTGCATCCAGTGTATTATAAATGTTATTATGTTTATCAGATGACACCATTTTCCGAATAGAAGCGAAACGACGGGTATCAAACATCTACAGATGACTTCGAAATTGGTTATTTGTTTTTGCCTTGTGACACTTTTAACTCCTATTTGGGGTTTACCATTGCTGCAGTCAGAAGGTAAGATTTTATTCTTTACAATATATTTTGACCAAATAATATTTCATGGCATTTGCTGTCAAATTCGTTGCGTGCACTGTAATGGCTGTGGTTCTTACAAATGGAATATTTTGTTGAAGGTGAATATTTTCTGAAAGTATGTTCACAGTAGGATTTGAACTGTCTTCTTGTTCGAGTTTCTTTGATGGCTTAAGTTCTCTTTAAACGTATTCATTGTTACTTCGTCAGATATAGTTTATCATGAATTTCATATCCTAAATTTTGGTAACAATTTCTGTGTTCTTAAGTACCATGTTACATATTGAAGAACTAATAAAAATGAGCCAGGTTATAATCACTCTATGTTACCGACCTTGCAATACATGTTTCGGCAAAATGAGTATTAACGCGGTTTTTGATGATTCTCACTGATTTATGAGGTAGATGTGAAAAGGAAAATGTTCAATAAGAATAATGGGAAATATACACCCAATTAAGGGTAAAATTTTATAATTCCGTGTATCGATTATCTTTTAGCTGCCTACGCAGTCAGTTATTTTGTCAAGTTCAGCTATATTCACATGATATTTATTTCCCCACAATTTTACCGCAAGAACGGTGTAGTTTTCAGTAGATTTCCACGCTGCAAAATATAACATTGCTATCAGAATCCACCAGTATCGAACAAAGGAAAAACATAGCTGCTTATGATAATTAAAAAAAAAAAACACTGAAAATTAACGGTTTGCTATAAATAATTTTTCGTTGACTTCTAATAAATGCTGTTTGATCCATAAGATACTCTTTTAAGTCTGCATTAACTCTAACAGCGAAGAAGATAATTTTTAAACTTTCAATTTGATCGTCTTACTCGTTCTCTCATTTTTTGAAAAGTTCTGTTTGTGCTTACTATGGCGCTTACTGTAGCATATTAACTCTAATTTGGAACCGGCTCATTTTTGGTACATTAGGTTACTAGTGTTGTCTTCCATTCTTCTTCCATCTTCGGATGGTTTCGAGTTGTGTGCCATGCCTGGGTTCGATAAAATTTTAGCTCTAAATCTAAACATGGTTTAAACATGATTGCTCGTCCGTTCAAACATATTCGTGACAGATCTTTTCCTTCCCATTCCTCTAAAGGCTTTGTAGGCAATTTACGCAGCGCTTTTATATCTAAGTCCGGGAAAATTAGAAGAGAAAATTAAGGAAACATTAAGAGAGTACGTTAGTGAGTGTTAATTGAAAAAAAAAACAAAACAAAAACTAGAAAAACTTTTTCAAAAAGTTGTTACATAATAGATTTCCTAAATAGTCTCTTATATTGTCAGTTACGGTTGTTGGGTCTGATATTGCACTTAACAGATAATAAAGAAAGTAAGAATAAAAATGGCAGCGATAGTGATAACTACGAGAAGAATTAAGAAATGAAAGGATGATAGGGGAGTAACTTTTTCAGAGTTACACTTTTTATGAATAGTGTAACATCAGCCGAGTGAAGTTTCTTTGTTTATACCGTTTGTCTTTCATTTCTTCTCCAGTGCACATCAAAGCCAGCTTAACCCTGCACTCGTTGACATTCGCTCGAGAAATCCTAAAAAAATACTGGCTATGGTCAAAAGTGACTTGGTCTTCGGCCTTAAGGTAATGAGAAACACAGAAAACCAATATAATTGATTAGATGACTCTAGATTCTAAAAGGAAAACTTGACACTTACCTTACAAGAACAGCCATATTTTATAAGATCCAATTGTGCACTGACATATCTAGAAATCGCTCCTATTGAGATAGTTTCACGAATATTCGCTGCTTACAGAGCCGATATCATAACTGTACCCATTAAGGACGGCGTCATATATTTAACAATTTCAGTAATAGGTTGGTTTCTTCTAAGCATTTTTCGTGATCTGCTAAGATCTCGCGTGGAGTCATCCCCTATGCAATAAACCCAGGTGCATCATCAGCAAACTGTAGTCGTGCAGATAACCCAGGATATCTATCCAGAAGCTTATGATCCAGAAGCTTATAGATTCCTCCATATTATTTACCAAGAAGCTAGGGTTTATAAACCGAACAATCAGAAGCTAGGGTGCAATTTTTGCCCAAATATGGAATTAGAGCTTCAGGGCTGCTTTCTTCATTTAAACTCGGGCTGATTACGAAGAGGCAGTGTCAACCTTACCTG